TTAGATCTTTAGAGATGTGAATTCCCAAAAACCTAAAGCTGGTGACTGTTTCCACTTCCGTTCCATCAATACTGAACTTGCCTGTTTACACATCACACTTACAATTTATTTCTTTAGTCTTGAGTGTGAAAAATACTTGACTTCAAATAACTGTTTCCAACAACTTCAGCATACAGAACGTTACATAGCCTCTGCACATCTTGCTCGCCTTTATTAATACTGACTGAACAGCCTTTACTTCAATGCAAGATCAGAGAGAGATGGGAATGACATTGTGTCAGACAAGCCCAAGGTGAGGGTTTTGTCCTTTTGTAGGCCCATTTGGTTACAGTTCAGGCAGAACACAAGATTGAGGGCAATTAGGACACTCAGAAATCGGTCCAGGTACAAATCCTGTATGCCACACAGAGAAAACTGAAACCAAGCTTGTGCTTAAGAACTTAACTGGGGTAGAAACCAGACAAAGCAGTGTTCCTTCATGACATGAGTTGAGAAACAGTGCCCTAAACGTCTTCCACACAGGTGTTGCATTCATCTCACACATGATGGCCTTTGGAAATACGTCACTTTTATATTTATTGGTAAATATTCATTTTCCATATTCACTGGCATTGATGGGAAGTACCTCTTAGCATTTAACACATTTCCAAAAGGAAATTGTTCTTCAGTGAGACAATAGAATTGCCCTGCAGAAACAGTAGGGAATGCATAACCAGCGGGTTTTCTCATCTGGTTGGATCCATCCACAGATTTACCAGTTAGAGAATTTGTGTGGAGCATAGTGGTTCAGTTGCAGCTCTGGAGCCTGGGACCTAGGGTGCTCTCTGTGTGGAGTTTGTATGTTCTCTCTGTGTTTGCATGGGTTTCCTCCAGGTGCGCCAGTTTCTTCCCACAGTCCAAAAACATACCAGTAGGTTAATTGGCCATCATTTGAGTTTGTGCTCGTCTGCGTTTGTGTCTGTCTACTCTGCGATGGAACGGCGTCGCATCCAGGGTGTATCCTGCCTTGTGCCCATTGCTTGCTGGGATAGGCTGAGGCTCTCTTGTGACCCTGGATTGGAAGAAAAGGTTAGAATATGGATGAATTTGTGTGGTGAACATGAAAGCAGGCATGATGCACAATTCATGATGCAGGACAATAATGGATTCGGCTCACCACTACTTGAATGATGCTAGCAGGCAGGAATTGGTTGCAGTGCTGATTTTCTCTCATCTGCATAAGGAAGATGAGGTGTTAATTAACGTTGCAACAGATAGTGGCAGAAAATCCTGGTTTGTGGCAAGATGTTCCGTACAAAAAATTGTGATGACTGGTGTATTTTGACTGCAACAGTAGATATATATAACTTTAGATATATGTGTCATTTTTCACCATATGGGGTATATTGCAGAAAACATGGAACTTCTCTAGGATATAGCACATGCATCTCTCAGCCTTTATGGAAAGAAGCCCTTATCATGCTACACTGGATAAAGAACAAATGTTCCCGACTCATGCACAAGGGCAGCAATGCAAATCTTTGTGAATGTAGCTTTATTTGAAAGCTTTTGATGCAGGCCAAGGTAAGAAAGGGATTATGCCTATATGTATTTTGAAACGATACTTGCTAACTGGGCTCACTCCCTGCAATTTCAGTAGGTTCTTGTGTACGTTAGATGTCTGCAAATATTTGCTTAAAACAACAGCATGTAGCCAGAGTCAAATTGATAAGATCTGACATTCTCAGTGGATTGGACAGAAAGCTTCTGGTTGTGTTCAGCAATCCAGGTAATCTGTTTTTATAGCTTTCTAGGATCATTGATCAACATTTAATGCTCTCTACAAGATGAAAGGATTTCCTTATTCTTAGCAATCAGACATACAAGGTCGTCTTCATGTGTTTTTTGTAAAACTGGCTGACATACATTTATAAAGTTCTGCCATTAATACCTTTATTATGATGCAGTGTGGAACCATGAAGCTTTGAAATTATGCATCCTTTACTCCATAAGTGACAATCGTTTCACAATGAAAGTTTACTAAAAGTTGTGAACATCTGTTCACAATTGAACATCTGTGCTCAATTGTTTAGACATGTCTGTCAATACAGTTGGAAAATAGAGGATTTTTAATTCAGTGTACTACAAGTTGTAAATTTATTACTTTATTTCTGTTTAATAGGAAAATGTGTTTGTTCTTTGGTGGAAAAAAAATGGGCCTCCTATAGTGATTTTGTTTCTAGTCTAGCACCTCTTGCTAATGGAAGCCACTACAATAAAAATTATGCTGACATTTTCACACAAAAACTGTCTTGCTAAAACGGTGACCACCTTTGAGAAAGTTCATTCAGGGATGAGTCTTTAGACAAAAGTCCCCATTGTGTGCTGTGAAAGTTACTCTCTTGGTATGTTGGTCCTCATGAAGTTTATGGGTGGGAAAGAAAGGCACTTGAAGCCGTTAAGTGTAGAAAAAAAACAAGTGTAACCTGTTGTTTTTCCAGAACAACTGAAACGTGTGGATGAGGGAATGGACCAGATCAACCAGGACATGAGACAAGCTGAAAAGAACCTGACAGACCTGACGAAGTGCTGCGGTCTGTGCGTCTGCCCCTGTGACAGGTACTTCAGACATCTCAGTGAAAATATCCCCCCCAGATTACAGGAGGGGAACCGCATCATGTGTTCCGGATTTACTAAATGAGATCTTTCCCATTGTCTCATCAATAAGATGCAGAGGGACATTACTGTGGATGTAAGAACTGCCTTTAGCCTGTAAATCTGAAAGAAACGTAATGCAAGTGATCTTTTTTTCCCCCAATGAGGTGCTTTGTGCATCACTGTTTACATACCTATTAGTGGTTCAATATAATCTTAGTTCCATTGCTAATTTTAAATGTTCAGACTACTTTAATTGGTACTGTAGAACATTTAATTACCTTGCTAAGGCCCTTCATGGATCCTTCTGGAATTTTGGTCTCGGGACCACATCGTAAACTAACCTACCTTGGTTATTGTTGTGGAGGGCGCACCTGTCTTGTGATCTTCACTCCACTCTGGACTCTTTAATACAGTCAGTTGTTCAATCAAATCCTAGGTTGCCATGAAATGTTTATGCTCCGATGATCATGTTTACCTTTGAATCTGGTGTGCTGCAGCTCTCAGGACCAGGAGTGGAAAGCATTTCTCTAGAATCTAGATGAAGACCTTTGAATGGCTCCAGACACTACCAGTCAGCTGCTAACAGTGCAGTGTAGTTCCAGGGAAAACCCAGACCTTGCTAGACAGCCCCTGTAACTCCAGATGAGAGCAGACAATACCACACAGAGTAACACCTCTCTGCATAGGCTTGATACCCCCACATATCCCAGGATGTCTCCAGACAGCTCTAGACAAGCCATGATTGTGCCAAAGAGCTCTAATATAAATGGGAGTGCTATTCTGTGCAGTGTACCAAACTCCACCAGAAGTCGCGTGGAGATGTGGGGTCGACTCTCCGGGGTGTATACCGTGTACATAAGGGATATATTTACAGATATACTTGCCCATATATGCTGTATATCTAGATTTAGGGCAATAAGTTTTAAGGCTTACTTGCCAAATATTGTGGTCCTACGAAGAACCTGCTAAAGGATATGTGCTTTTCTGTAGTCAGTATAAATAATTCACTCGGTGAACCCCAATGTTTTATTCCAGGAACTCAAGTTGTTAAAATAACACTGCAAACCAAACTAACGAGCTCTAGCTGCAGAAAGCCAGGTATTGACTGTATAACCATCTTAAATTTCATTTCAAGGTTTATCAACACAAGTGAATGCAACATTTTGAGTTGAGTAGACATTTTGTCCTAAATAAAACTACAGACTAGAGCCCTTTCAGAATAGTGTGTCCATTCCATGTGCAGTCAATACCTCGACTGTTAAAATGGTAATTAGCAGGACCAAAATAACCTTTAAGATGTTGGCTTGGAAACCATTATTTGTTTTATGATGCAAATGTGTAGTAACCAAACTATCAGGTATGGACACCATAAACCCAGTGATAGAGACTGCCTTCATCATAGTGAGTGTGAATAGGATATTCATGTCAGAATTTTAAGAAGTTAGCTACTGTAAAGTTAACCCTGTATGTAAGAGACAGTGCTTGCTTGTTAAATCTGCATTTGAGAAAAGCAAGAGTTGTCAGTGGCAGTTTTGATAAACTGAACCCTTGAACATCTTAAAAGTTTCAGTCTCCAGTTGGTTGCACAGTGTACAGTGCATGACTTGCCTGCTACCTATGGCAGCATTCCATTTTACAATATTTTGTGTTAAAATCTAGACTTGATTAAAACACTGGATCTCTCTCAATACTACTAGTGGCCATTGTTTAAAAAAGTAGACATTATTTAGCAGGGCAGCAATTTTCCTTAAATATAGACTCCGATGTGGTTGATTGCTAATACAGTACATTGATTAGTCCGACCTTGTCATTATTTTGACAGTTCTGTGGACCCCTGGCCATCAGCGATCGTTCACTTGACTCAGACTGTGAAGATCTTACAGCTTTTCAATGCATGTGATGAATTTTGATTGTAGGACTGTTGTTCACCCTCTTTACTGTTTTATTAACATCATTGCCTAGGCAGGCTGCCAGGCTGCCATTTAGATCCTTAGGTTGCCTCTAACTACTGCTCTGTACTAACCCTTAAGTTGTATGTGTGCTAAAACTATCCTTTTTTCATGTTTTCTTTCCCTCTTCTTAACTGCTGCCTCTTTTGGACGGTAGAGCTCTTGCTAACCTGTATGGAGTGATGCCTGTCTGCCTACTGTGAAAACACTGGTTCTACACACAGTGGGCTGGAGTTCCTTTACTGCGTAGGTGCCAAGGTGAACACTGTCTTGCTACAGCTCCAAGGTGTAGCTTAGCAATACAGTCTAATTCAGAAGAGTAGACTTCATTCAGTGTGATCTAGTAATGCAAGAGATGGCACACTGTACAACAAACACTTCTACTGATCTTTGCAAGCATGCGCTAAGAACTGAATGACTTCAGCAACTAAACTCTCTGTCTTACAACTGGTTCAATGTAGGATGTTGGTAATGCACACATGAAAAGCCAAATGGAATGCTTTTTCTTTTCCAACGTTCAGTGGCATTTAAATGCTCTGTTTGTATTCAGACAGATGTTCCTCCAAGAAGTTTTATTTCAGTGCATTAAGGAAAATTGGAAACTCTGAAAACATCTCTTGGTAAAGGTGCTGAAAGTATCTTGAAATGCGGACTTATTTTCTTGAGTAATAGTAAAATTTAAAAGTGTGAACTGTGATTTGCCATTCAATATAATCCTAGATCCTATTTTTAGAAATATCTGTCGTTAAAATCCTTTGAACTAGGTATTTCAGTGTTTTTATTTCCTAATTAGTAAAAACAAATCAATGCGGCAATTAAATGCATTTACAAAATGTTTTCATATTTTGTGTGGAAATTGATGCAGATAAGAGGTTCAAAGATGAAGAGACAAAAGGTGAAGTGGAGTAATAAATGAATAGCACATACATATAAAAATGTCTTACACCAAACAGTAAGGTGTTCCAGTGGTTGAATGTCTTGTCCTCTTTGGATTATGCGTTGCCTAAACAAGTTCTCTAAATATGGATTACATTGCGAAACTGTAGAAGCACTTGAGCAATTGGGTAATGTTAGAAATGACTCAATCATACATACTATCACATATTACATCTTTGCAGCCTACAGATCTGGTGATTTAACTACATAAAAGGAAGTTAACCATGCTTGGAACAGTAAAAAGAAATGTGTATTTCCACTTGAGGTTGTAGAAATGCAGAATCAAAGTCAGCTATTTTGATAAATATTACAGCAATTGTTAAATGTTATACAAAAATGCCTCAAATGCATTATTGTGATGAGCCTGATGCAAAGATTCAGCAGTGAGTACTTGGGATGCTGAAAACGAATGTATGCAGTAATTATGGTGATGTCATTGAGATTAACTGTTTTTAACGCACACATTTCAATGCATGACTTGCCTGCTGCCTACTGGTTCTCTTGTAAACAGATGAAGCACCACCAAGAATATCCTTTGGTCTTCAGGACTTCACTGCTGGCAAATTGTATCAATACAGTGTTCCTGGAGACAGTGAGCTCCCAAAGATCAGGCACTAATACACACTTGCTAAAATGACTGTGGGCTCATTACAGCAAAAATTTCTTTTCAATTCTGTCATTTAACTAGCATGAGAGTGTAAAGTCTATTTGCAAAGAAATTTGTTCAAGACTGTTTATTCCAGATTAAATCAGGTCCGTGACCTGTAATCTAATACGTGAACCTAGATTCTAAAGGAAACAGACCAGAAGAATAAAAATGCAACTTCACAATGTTTGAGTTTAGCAAGGAGGGTTTTACTTTTCTACATCTTATATTGTCCACTTGAGTGAAAATTAGGGTGAAGTGTTGAAGTAAAATGTGTACTTTTCTTCAATTTAAAGATTGTAGAGTGGTGACCTACTACAAGATCACAGATTACAACCTCTTTATGCAAACAGACATTTTTGATAGTCAAAAAGGAAAGCTGAAAAGATACAACTCCTCCGACTTCAGTCTTGCAATCTTTCTGAATTGGCTTTTTGTGCTTCTGTCTGCTCGTAACGAGGGGAATTGTTTGCCCCCCTACAGAGTGAGGAGTTTTGAGATGGGCGACCGCTACAAGAGGACCTGGGGCACAGGGAGCGTCAAGGACAATGCCAGCAGCGGCGGCACAGATGGCACTGTGGTGTCCAGTCAGCCCGGCAGAATCCATAACGGGCATGCGGGCACCACCCAAGCCCAATCTGGGCCCTATATCAAGAGGTAACTGAGTCCCCAAAAACTATACACCTGCGATATCAGGCTTGCTTAGGTGAGCTTTAGCTGCAAAGCTAATTTCACTGTCAACACATCTGATAAGTGTGTGAGTGCAGTATGTTTTTTTTTTTACTCCAACCTGGATACTGAGAAGGTTGCAGGAGATAGTGTGGACACTCAAACTGCACTTGGAAGTCCCAAGGTGTAAGAGTGCCATATTATGGACCTGTAGTATTTAGAGCTTCCTCCCAGCTCTGTGCTGTATTCTGTGATTGACTAGTGCACTGCGGTTCTCTCAGGATAACGAATGATGCCCGGGAAGATGAGATGGAGGAAAACCTGAATCAGGTGGGCGGCATCATCGGCAACCTGAAGACCATGGCCATGGACATGGGCTCTGAGATAGACAAGCAGAACAAGCAGATCGACCGCATCACAGATAAGGTGAGCAACACACTCGCACCTCTGTTTCACATATACTGACACGGTTCCGGGCACTCCTCCTGTTGAGGATCACTTGATCACTACGCAAGGTTCAAAGTTGCAATCTGGGAACATTGATTTTTTTATAAATATCCTGAATAGGATTAAACTGGGTTCCCACACTATTATGATTGAAGACATTAATTATTCAGATTACTAACTGCTGGATTGGTAATTAAATATGTACTTAATTTCTACAGGTAAGCAATAGCTGCAGTATTGTGATCATCTTTATAAGAGTATTCATATGATAGTTTTTTTTAACTGATGGTCATCTTACATGCTGAGCATAAACCATTTTTAATAATGTAAATAAGACTTAAATACTTTATAACTCCCATGACAAAAGCTTGACAGAATACTGTAGATAATGTTGCTTCTCCCGTCAGTGTGTCTCTGACATTAAACAACTTTACAAATGCCACCAGGTGAGGATTTAGCCATAGAGGGCACGCTGTGTCAATGTGATCGTCATTCAGTGCAGTTAGTAATTGTATTGGTCACAGACACACCCTAGTAACCCATCAGTCTGTATTGGAATATCTTGCAGGAATGTGATGTATTGAATGTGATAGGGTCTGTGCAAGGTACCTGAGTGTACAGGGGGAGTGTACTGTGCTTACACAAAATTACTTGGGGAAAAATATTCAAGTTTTTAACTAGTGATCAAATGATAGATCCATTAGTTAAGCCTTGCTCAAAGCATTATTAATTCAGACTGTGGCAATACTCCTGAATGCTCATATGCTAGTTTTCACGAATGCTATATTGTGAGCTTCTCTGCCAAGCCCTCATGCAAGTCTCTGTCTTCTAGGCTGAAGTGAATAAGTCCCGCATCAATGAAGCCAACCAGAGAGCTAACAAGCTCATCAAGTAGAAAGAGAGGATAGTGCTGGAACCTGTGCTGCAGCTCAGTCTGTGTCTGGGACAATCTGGAAGGTTTCGATCAGTGGAAGTGCACAACACAATGTCAGGGGACATTGAAGCTCTGAGTGCTGATGAATCTTAAAGCTTTTCTCCTTCATCTGATGTTTTTCAAGTTGAAGTGATCATCCCTAGAACCCTTAGGAACACTTCTCTTTGTCATGAAGACAGCATAAATTCAGTATAAGCTGACTGTAAATGCAGGGTGGCTAAGGTTGGTCCCTTGTTTTCTCATTCATTAAAGCATAGATAAATGAAAATAAAATTCAGATATTTAAAGTCAAGATGTGGAGTTGTGATCTTTCAACCATATAATTTATTACAATTGAGGTACAGCACATTAGGACCCAAAAAAAGGGACCAATTTAAGTCACTTAGAAAAAGTCTGAACTATGCAGCACTAAGGATTTTGTCTTGTAATCAACTGATTACTCTGTTTTTTTGCAGGTGCATTCTCTTAATCTTCTTTAAGTCATTTAATTCAGGCATCGATGGGAAAAGCTTGGGATAAATATGCCTTCGAAAGAAATGAACTGGGGTGTACTAGTGAATACTTAATGCATATTATTTAACTTGGGCCTGCAGTTGACTTTCCACAAATCACCAGTATCCGTCAGTTGTATCCATAAAGGTTTTGTATATAGTTGTTCCACTGCTGATAGTGATAGTCCTGATGTAGAATGCTCAATAAATATACAACTTATTAGTAATAATAAGTGAATTTAATTAAACAACCCTGCTCTTTAGGTAGTAATGTTCTATGCTGGGCTCCAAAGTTTAGTTATGCACTGTCAATGCCAAAAATATTTCAGCAAGTTGATCTCTAGTCAAGGACCTGTTAGAGGACTACAAAATACATGATATATTTTACTTAAACTAATCCATTTCTTAATTCCCAGTTTTATACCATTAATTATCAGCTGTTTGAGGCAGTTGTTTCAGTCTGCTGTCTTCAGTTTTGTTAATGAGTTGTGAAACTGTAGTTTTGAATAATATGTTTTCATTATGGTTATACTTTCTAAATTTCTAAATATATGGATGAACATTTCTCAGTATGTGAAGTCTGATTGCGTACTCATGGGGTTAAGCAGTCAGATTTGAGGCTGCTGGTTCTGTTTTAATCCTTTTTGGGCGTTACCTCTTGTGTTTTTAAACACTTTCTGTATGCTGTATTTCACACAATAAAAGGATGTGCATTTTTATCTAGTAAGTTTTTTCCCCACACTGAATTTTTGTGCTCTGAAGCTGAATTGCCCATTTGTAAGTTACTTTCTCTCCTGCATTAAAGAGAAATGTCTGATGATGCTGGATACTGCCGAGTTGAAGCCTAGGGGTATTCTAAAACCAGAAGTAGAGGAGAACTAAAAAGATTAGTTGACTCACAATAGAGATGGGGTTCAAGATATTCTGCAGCAGGTAGAAATTAGACATTTGAAGATTGTATGTATTGAAAACCATATACTACAACTGGAGTGTAATCAGCATTACCAAAGTATAAAAATAGTTTCACTATAGCAGCATAGTGCTATTTAAGGAGAGTGCTGTTTAGAATAAATCTACACATATTAGCATTGTGATAAATATACTGATAGCAACCAACAACACAAGCAGACACTGTAGACCTAAAACATTCTGTGGCGAATAGAATGCTTTATTTTGATTTTAAAAGGCGATCTTGCCATCTCTCTGGCTACACAACAGTATTAAGATCTTTCTGTGTGCAGTGCACTTTCTCCCTCAGTTATTGTGATTTGGTTGTTACAAACAACAGGAGAGCAGTGAATATTTTTACCTTCATCTTTCAAGCAGGGGTGGCAACCCTACAAAACCAGGTAGTTCTAATCCCTCTTAAGAGTAATGACTTTTTCAACCCAAGATTGCCCTGTGATGTCACGGCTTGTTAGCCCAAGATGGATTGAGTTTCCTCTTCCTAATCCCCCAGAGGTGTTAGTACAGGAACAAAAAGAGTCCTTTAACCTGTGCCACTGAAACATTCAGCAATCCCAGTCACTCTCACCAAGTGTAGTTTTTAAGGTTGTTAAACACAAATCAATAGATCATTGCTGGAGATTCTTTAGGCTTTGTCAAATCATATCACATTGTATTTTGTAAACGTATTAGGCAACGTTGTTTTTAAAATAAAGGAGAATTGGAGGAACTGGGAAGAAGTGAAATGGGCTGGCAGAATGTTTCCTCAATTGCACCCGAGATCAGCCAGGGAATGTAACAAGTTAGAAATACCTAAGAAAATGCGCTGGGCTTTCCTAACAGGATGTAAAGATCTTTGTACAGCAGAATACAGTATTGCATCTTTTGGATGCTCAGCCTAGTTGACTTGTTCTGATGCTCTCTGTCAATTCAAATGGTTTTGCATGCTACTTGGCATCGTGCAATTATTTTTACTTGTTCCTGTAACTAAGGAGAGCCAGTCAGCCTTTCTTTAACGAATTTGCCAACTGTTCAAAAAAGGGTAACTCGCTCTTTCTTCTAACAATTACAGGTGTCATGTAATGGCATTCAATGATGAGGCAGTGGCGAGGCTGTCTGGTTTTAAGTGTATTTATCTCTATACTCTTGTCTTGATTTGAGGAATTGTAGATGACACTTCAAATAGTCCATAGTATGCTCTATTGAAAGGTAGAACTTCAGAAATGGTATTTTAAGAGGTATAACCATTTTTCCTGTAAAATATTTTTTTTTGTCACATGTAGAAAGTTAATTTTATTGCTTTTTGTTCTTCATGTATAAATTGATTTTTTCGCCTTTTGAATACACTAGTGTTTGTTTTTCTTTTTTCTGGGTCCTTTAAATGTATACTGGCATATTTGTATTCTTAATAAACAATCCATCAATCCTCTTGTCCCATTTTTCAACTTTCA